TTGAGCTGATATCAAGAGTTGAACACTCAACCCACTGAGCCACCTAGGTGCCCCCAGCAGGTCAATTTATAATAATTAATGGGATCAATTCATCAAGAAGACATTTTAATCCTAAATGTTTATGTACCTAATAACCAGGTTTTGAATTATATGAAGAAAAACTACTGCAAGGAGAAATAAGCAAATCCATAATTATAGCCTAAGATTTCAATACTGATCTCTCAATTAACAGAACAAGTAGACAATCATTCGGTAAAATATAGAAGGTGTGAACCAAATTGGCCTGACATTAATAGAACACTCCACCCAAACAACAGAAATGCACATTCTTTTCAAGTACATATGGAGCACTTACCAGGAGAGATAAATTAGGTATATTCTGGGCCATAGGACAAGTCTCAATAAATTTAAAACGGTTTGAGACATACAAAGTATGTTCTCTCATCAGCATGGAATTAAATTAGAAATTAATAACAGAAAGTCTCTGGGAAAATCTCCAAATTACTTAGAAACTAACAAACTTATTCAAAATTATTTGAATAACCAGTACTCAAAAATCAAGAGAAATCAGAAAGTATTTTGAACGGTAGAGCAGTACTTAGGAGAAAATTTATAGAACTAAAAGCCTATATTAAAAAAAAGGTCTCAAACGAATAACCTCAGTTTTTATCTAGGAAAAAGAAATTAATAAGATACAAATCAAAGAGAAAATAGAGGAAACTCAGTTAAACCAAAAGCTTGTTTTTCTCAGAAGATTCTTCCCATTTTCTCCATGAAATTCACTCTACCCACAGAATTCTGTCAGTTAATGGTGACTCTACTTTTCCAACCGCTGAGATCAAGTGCCAAATCTTGGACTTTCTTTCATTCTACTTCCAATCTAATCAAGAATATTACTGGCTTCCTCTTCAAGATGCACCCATAATCTGATTCCTCACCACCTCCTCTTTCACCACCCTGCTGTAAACCTCTGACTCACTTGGGGCTACTACACAGCCTCCTAACTCACCTCCCTCTTTTCACCGCGGCCCACTTCCATCCTTAGTCTTCTTGAACAAGAATAGCCACAGAATGTTTCTAAGTAAGTCATTATCATGTCACTCTTCTGGTCAAACCCCTGTAAATGGCTCCCCATTTCACTTAGAATAGAAGTCAAAATCCTTGCAATGGTCTGTTAGGGCTGATGTGCACCCTGCTCCCATACCCCATCTTCCTACTCTTTACTGGTCCCAACCACAATGACTTTTGAAGGCTGTTCTTCAAACATGCCAAACATGTTGCTGCTTCAAGTCCTTTGAATTTAACTCTTCTATCTTCCTGAAGAGCAATTTCCCCTGATATCCATATGGCCAGCTTCTTTACTTTCTCCTTATCTTTGCTCCACTGTGGGCTCCATGAATATCCTTTTTTAAAATTACAACCTCTCACTCACCACCACGAGCTCTCTGGATCCCCCAGTTACACTTTTTCTCCATAGAACTTATCATCCTCTACTATTCTTTTTTTGTGTTCTGTCAGCTTCCTTCAACCCCATTAGAGTATAATCGCCAGGAGGACAAGTATAATCGCCAGGAGGACAGAGTGGTCTGTTTCTTTCACTTTCGTGTCCCCAGACCATGGGAACAAGGATCTCCCAGCACACAGGAGATACACACATTTAATAACTGTGAAGTGAATAACCTTAGGCTTGCATATCTGCTAAAGTTTGGCCACTTGGACACTTAAGATCTCCTTTTTGATTACTGCAGGGATTATTATCCCTCATGAGTTTATAGTCATTTCTTAAACTTGGATATTTTTTCCATTACTGGCTTTTCCAAATCACTTAATTTCTTTAATTAGAAAAGCGCTTGTGGCAGATAAATTTTGTGTCTTCAGTTCTATCTCAATTCATGGTAAGATGTTCCTTCTATTACTGTGACATTGTAATAAAGAGTTTTCCACTCCAAAGAAGAGGAGTTTGTAAACTGGCTAACTATTAAGCTTAATTTTAATAAAAATAAAGCACAATTATTTCAGCCAAATATAAAACAGGTAAATGTAACATATAAAATTTGTTTTAAAAATTTCATCCCATACAATAAAATTTCATCCTAATGTTCATTTATGTATAGTTTTCAAAAATCATAAGCAATAGGAGATGATATTTTAAAATAAAATTTACTGAGCCTACTCTGAAGATTTGGATAACAGTTCTGGTTCAACACTGATTCATAACACGAAGAAAGTCCTTTGGAACCAACAAAACATTTGTCCCAGCAACTCCTATTGCTGACTATTATGAGCTGGTATATAAAAAAGGAAGTATTAGTTCACTACTAAGAAATCACTACAGGGGCGCCTGGGTGGCGCAGTCGGTTAAGCGTCCG